TTGTTTAGATTACTAAGGCTAGATATCACTCTATCTTAAATTCGTATTTTACATCATTCAGTGTCGTGCCGGTTCTGTCACGAAACTTCGACTGTCGAAGTATGTTACAATGTTGATCGTCCGTAGTATAGTTATAAGAATCCACAGGTGAAACAACCACTCGTTCATGTAATAATATACCTAACAAACAGTCAACAGGGTTAGTAACTATGTGATGACTTATTATGTACATTAGGTTAATATGAAATTAACATCCGACTTGCAGTGGAATGTGTGATTTCCGCCTCATTTCCTGTTCCTTGATTAGTTGTGGGCTTAGGGTAGAATCACCCAATCTACTATTTGTTCGATCTAGATTTCCATAACTCATATGTACTAAGTGATCACAGGAGGGTTTAAACAACACTTTATGGATACAGAACAACATGTTATCAATTAGTTTTATTTATGTAATAAGACTCTTATACATTACTGGTGGTAGCTAGGGTTTTCAAACAGAACAATGCTCAAACAACATAAGTATGGTAGATACTTGTACACCACGATTTGGAACAGATGTAATTCCCGTGCTTCTGGGCTTGTCATTAATAGTAATGTAATATTCTAGGTTAACCTTTGTAACCCGTCTTGAAATAATAAAGATGTATTATCTGAGTATTATGTGTTTTGTGCTTAATTATGTGGCTTAAAGGAATTAAGGATATAAATAAGCATCAAAATGAAATGTTAGATAATCTCGATATCTATGAAGGATGTTGTAGTGGTCGTGACGAGGTTTCCGAATATATAAAGAATGCCGAAATCCGAGTTATACCGAGGCACAAACGAGTCCTAAATGACATATAATGGCATAAATGGGTGTGTAATTAGTGTTTTGGACAACTAACATACAAGGAAACACCCTTAGGGACTAGGGAACACTTAAAACTAAGTGTTATAATCACATGTGATTGACTAAAAGGGGTCAACGGCCAAGGGTTCACTGCCAATGCGAGTGTGTGGCCATGAGTGTATGGCCATGGAGTGTACGGTCGTACACCCATGAAAGAAACATGGAAAAATGGCGATTTAGTCCATGGGGAAGCTAACGGATCTAATGTTCAGCAAGATTACAAACTAGTTTCTCATTTTGGAGGCCCTTAAGGGGTGTTTGGAGGTGTGTAGGGCCATGCATGGGTGTACGACCATACACTCCTTTTGTTCCAGCTAAAAGGTCGATTTTTAGGTAAAACAAGGCTAGGATAGAAGGTTTAGCATGTCCAATTAGGTGATAGAAGCCAAACTCTCACTTTGGAGGGCCTTTAAGGTGTGTACGGCCAACCTTATGAAGGTGTGCGGTCGTACTCCTTCAAAGGATGAAGAACAATGTTTGAAACATGAAGAATCAAGAGGTATTTCAAGTATAACAAGCTAAAGGATGAATTGATTACATTTTTGAAGCCTTTAGAGGGTTCTTGGTTGAAGAATCTAGAGAGAGAAAGTAGTGGTGTGCAGCCAAGGGAAGAAAGGAATAAAGGAAGGGAGGTCTACTCATATATATAAGGGTGAGTGGACCCACCACCTTGAGTGTTCATCCATGAGGGGGGTATACGGCCGTACACCCATGTGTACGGCCGTACACTCCTCATAAAGGAGTATATGGCCTGAAAGGCTACTTTACGACTTTGGTAACTCATCCCTAAACTCAACCTTGGTTGCACTCAAGCTTAGAACACTTAAACGAACCCTTAAACAGTGCTAAAAGATAACATAAGCGAGTTTATCCTTGATTGAATTGAATAGTTATGCAAGATAGAAGTTCTGGATTGTCACATAGTGACGCCAACTTCCAAACCGACAAAGATAATTTCTGCTCTTAGTCGGCCTGGTTGGTTACCCTGAATGGAGGAGCAGTGACATGGAAAAGTTCCAAGCAGGAGACTGTAGCTGATTCAATGTGCGAATCAGAGTACATAGCATCAAGCGAAGCATCGAAGGAGGCGATATGGTTGAAAAACTTCATTGGAGACCTTGGAGACATTCCATTCATAAAGGAGCCTGTGGAGATTTTCTGTGATAATGAAGGGGCGGTTGCCTTAACCAAGGAACCAAGAGATTATGGTAGATCCAAGCATATCGATAGAAAGTACCACTTCATAAGACATCAAGTAGAATAAGGATACCTCATGGTAAAGGGGATATTGTCAGAGGACAACCCAGCAGATCCCGTTACAAAGGGACCGACTAGGAGTTGGTTGTGTATTAATGGCGATAACATTGTCAGAGGACAACCTAACAGATCCAGGCATATTTCCTTCATGGAATTTATCATGAGTAATTGTGAGACAATAATATCATATAATCTTCAAACTAAGATATATGAGTTGTTGACTACGAGTTGGTTGTGCATTGATGGCACGAAAACACATTAGTAACTTGATGTTATAAAACATGTCGTTGTGTATGATTTGATCACTTGTTAGTACAAGCATATAATGTCGAAGTTTATCTGTTCCTTTTATCCTAAGAGGATTAAAAGCGATATCTTAGGCCCCTCGATGATTCTGTTTTGACTATGTGTCGGGCCCGGTCAGAACTAAATCAATGTGTGTAGTTATGTTCTATGTCAGACAAATCGAAAATCAACAAATTATAGGGAAATAAGTATGACTATGTTCCATGTGTTTGTCCACATAGATATCTTGAGAACATAGGAATATATGATCCCTTATCTGAAGGACGAGTCACTGACTAGGTCAGAGTTCGACAACGGCTTTTGAAAGCTTATGATTGCTAAGTCGGATCTTGAAGTCACATTGGCAGCTATAGTTATTAGACTTATCCAAGTGGGAGACTGTTGGATTTGGTGTCTAAGCCCATAACTATAACTGGGATGTACTTGACCCGATTGTAGCATGATCATTTTAGGTTGTCTTCACCATTGCAATTTGATATGATGGACTTTTGAATAAGGTTATTTATGATTTATTAATATAGTAAAAGTATAATACATTAATATGAAATCATATTATTATTTACTTAGTATTGATCAAGACTTAATTTGGAATTAATTTTATGATCAAAAGAGACTAATTAAATATATGGGGATTGATTATGTAAATCAATAATTCTTATAGTGTGGGCTAATGATCCATGATTATGTAGATGGGCTAAACCAATGAAATAATCCATGGATAGTCCATGGAGGTTAGACCTATGAGGCATAAGAATGTGAAAAGTCATGGAGCATTAGGGTTTACAAAGTGTAACCCTAGCATTTGCAAAACTATAAATAGAACCCCCATGAAGCCAAAATTGGTTGCACCTTCGTTGTGATCTAAGAAACTTATTCTCTTAAGCCTCCTTTTGCATATTGGTGTTTGTGAAGCATTATAGGCATCACACTAGGGTTGCTCAAGTTTCAAAGGCCAAGAAATACAAGTCCTTCATAAAGGTATGTCATCTAACTAGTTGTATCATTCAATTGTTCAAATGTATGCTAGTTAGGACAATGCTTTGGAAAAATTAAAAATGCATGTATAATTAGAGAAAACATAGATCAAAAACATTGAGGGTTGCATGTACACCATAGGAGTGTTATAGTACTCAAAACACAACAACAAAGCAGTCTCATATTTTGACTCAGCATCTGAATTTAGAAAAAGCTCCATAGGTATGAGTTCGGTAGAGTAAGATCTATGATATGAGAACGCATGCTTTCGGTAGCATAGGAAGTGTTTGTCGAAAATCGCCACCAAGAAGAACCAAAATTCCACCAAATGCCTGTTCGTTACAGTCCAATACGTTTCACAAAGACCTGTCAAGAAATTCAAAACATGTTCTGTCGCTCATTAGTGCCTTATCCCATATGATAACTGATTTGTGTTGCATAAGATCACCTAGCAATGTTCTCTTCTTTATGTCATACGATCTTTTGTCAATCATATCGATTGGTATCTTAAATCTTGAATGTGCTGTAGTTCCGGAGGGTAGCATCAATGATGTAATCCCAGATGCAGCAACCGGTAAGACAACTTTCCTGATCGATCTAAAATAAGAAATAATGGTAGTCCATAGAAAGGTCTTCCCGATACCTCCATGACCATAAATGATCATCAATATTTGTTTTTTGGTTTGTATGGAGCCAACAACAGTTTAGCAGATCAACGTCCGTTGGCTGTTTAACTGTGGAAGAAGTTGAGCATGTTGGTCAGACAGAAGTTTCTTGTCGTAACTCATCTCCTCAAGCAAAAGATGATTTTGTAGGATAGAAAGGATGGCAGATGATGACATTGGAAAAACAAAATCAGCTAGTGACTTGGAGGGTACAGAGGAACGAAGAGTGTGTTCTAATTCATGAAGTAACTGTTGGAGCACCATATCGTCTGTGACACAGAAGTTCTTATCTGGCATTGTCATGTTTAACCTGTGCAAGTAGTCATCCAACATTTTTTCATGTGTTGCTTCCCATAACAAGCGTGGATTACTAACCTCACAAAAAAGCAGCACAAAGATCAAAGTTGTGATGAGGTTTCCTAAAAAGAAGCTTCAGTGAATGTAATCATCCACTCAATGTCGTCCCCTATTAATGCGTTGCAGGCACTTCTGTAAGTCAGATGAAGACAGCCAGACAAAATGCATAGATCTTCGAATGACGTGCAACCCTTCTGATGACAAAGTAGAATTCAAAGATAGAATAGTTCACCAGATGATGGGAGTACAAACACAACCCAGCCAACCATTTTGGGTGACTCATTGACCCGTTGATCCCACGATTTGGAAGGGACCCACTTATAGGACTTTGGATAGTTGATATATGTCAGTTCACGCCATGTTGGATTTCTTACATTGTTTTCGAACCATGCGAGAAGGGTTGTTTTAGAAGCAAAGGGATTACAGAGCACTTCTTGTATTGTGATGTTCTCTTTGAAGACAATCAGTTGTGTATTCCCCTCATGAACTGATAGAATCTAGACTGGTGGGTGGCGATAATGTATGTAGTAGTTGGTCCTCTATTTGTATCAACCAGTCTTATCATTCGGTTCGCTTTTCTGAATTACATATTTGACACGATCTACTCCTTTTGATATATATTTGAACAGGTGCTTGATCATCATGTTCCAGCCACAATATTCAACGTTAATGTGAGCTTGAAATCGGGAACAAAGTCTTTTATTGTAGGGGACATCATATCCATTATCTATGACAACCCTGCGTGGTGTTGTGTGCCGGGCGGATGAACCACGCTTGTAACGCACGTAACCCTCAGTATCAAAGAATGTAGAATCAAGAAACGACTTTGGGAAATGTTTGCTACATTTGCCATCTTTCATACACAGAGCCTTTTCATTTAGTGGACCACACGAACCATGAATCGTACACGTTGTTATCGTTTCATACAACCGAGGTTCCATCATTGGATATGGCAACTCAACAGTAATATATGTATCCACATCGTCTGGATTCTTGATCCTATATGCACTGTTAACCCAAATCAACGTGTGACAGTGGATAAGACCTCTTTTCTGGAACTCTATGGTATACAAATCTACATGAAGAAATACACATATTATATAAGAAATTACCACACAATTTACTTTTTTACAACAAATAAATAAAAGAAATAGAATATAATGTCATGGACAAATGAGGGACGATAACATAACATTGAACCACATAACATTTGGAAATGACAAAAGGTAAGTTATTTTTTATTTATATGACCATAAGTTGATTATATCTAATGTTGGCATATCTTGCATTGATATAGACATCTTCTTTTGCAAAAAGAACAATGGGTCATATTCAAGGGACACATAAACAATATTGCAGGTACATATCAGTTTCATATATATATATATATATATATATATATATATATATATATATATATATATATATATATATATATACTGAAAAAAGATGATGTGAAAACAAATTGAATAAAATATTTAGCACCAACAGATTTGTACAAACCTGTACTGTAAAGAAATTGTAAAATCATAACAATGACAAGAAGACCTACAGTAGTGACAGAAAACCATACATGCATCAATTTTGCCAAAAGTCTTGTCTTCCTTTAAAAATTTGATAAACGCTTGAACCTTTATCTTAATAACTCTAGCAATGATATCTGCCTTGTTGTGAGGATCTCTCTCACCATGCACATCCATATAACACGTTATTTCTAGTCATTTGACATTACACGTGAATGTTATAAAATATTGTGGATTTCCATATACCCTACATATGGCAAGCACATCCTGATAGTGACTATACATGTAACAAGGACCATCTGTAAAAGATGTGGGTAAGAAGATGCTTTTCCCAACTTACCAGGCTTTCTTATCACCCTTTGAAAGCACATTGTATATACCTCCTATGTATTCCGAACGAAGGTTATCTTGGTGAGTGGTGATATATTCCAGCCATCCCTCCTCAATACAATTATATGCATCTACCAAATATTGTTTAAAGAGCCGAGATGCATTCAAAATAGTAGACCATATGTGTCGGCGACCATGAATCTAATATGCATAATACATATTAACATTAAGATTCCTTGCATTAGCAGAAGTCCGATTACCCAACTTTAAACGCGGAGACCGACCCTTTTCACCATATGGAAACAAAATCGGATATTGCAGCATCATATTATTAGGATGAAGCTTACTAATACGCTGCAGACGACCTGAATTGGAGTGGACTACAATATCATAATTTCTACAATTATTATCATCACCAATTACTATGCAACCCAAGGATCCAGGTGAAGGTAGGTCATATCTATGGTCGGGAACATTGTTAAACAAACAAACAACATATGATGCTAGGTTCATCTCATCAGCAAGCTGTTTTGCAGTCTTGAATGTACACACATATTCATTGTTGTCCTTTAAAAAGGCAACCAGAAACGTAACTATACCCTCATCTAAATCCCTTTTTTCTGTGATTGTCGAAGGCCCTAAACTTGTTACTGACCTAATTCTAGGTGTCAAACAAATACATCTAAAGAAACCTAGGCCCCTTCACAACATCAAGGCAAAGCGATCCAATTTTATGACTAATCTGACCTGAAACGTTAAACACATAGGGACCATGACTATCATTTGGATCCTCATCTACATTTTCTCCAAACCATGTCATAAAGAACATGCTGTTATAAGCTCTAATGTCCCTCAAGAAACGAACGTTATCAAAAAGGGAAATAAATTCAGTTGGTAATCTAGAAGGATAAGGAAGGATAACAACACCAGATTTACAACAGTGACTATATCTCGGGTGATGAGCAGTGGATAGCTTCAGAGACCTTTCATCAAACCAGAAATAGGAGCCACAAAATTCACAAATGCAGTTATAGTCACCACAATCGAGATACTTGAGAAGAACACCAACTGACCGCATTTGTCGAGATCACCGACTATGACCAACAACAGAGGGAACATCGACAACCAAAGAGGAACCAACATCAGCCCGAATAGAAAAGGACCCAACATCAACATACCTTCGCTTACCACGACCAGACATATGAAAAGAAACCAAACAAAACAATCTGAAGAACCCAAAAAAAGGACAGTCGAAGGATTTTACCTGCGATTAGAAGAGGAAACAGAAAGGAAGAAATCGAAGACAAAGATAGATACAAACAGAGATACAAAAGGAATGTCGGTAATATAAACATGGATTAGAATAACAAGAATCCAAAGCTGAATGGGCGAAAAAATAGTGAAGAAAGCTGTGAGGAACACGTGTCCATAAAGAAATGAGAAAATGGCATAAAATGTCTCACACAAATATCGGCAACAACAAAGCCAGAAGAGAACACATACCCATAAACAAAAGACCAATTTTTCCAAAACCTTAGGAAATTTACTGTTCCTAAGGATGATCCTTATATATATATATATATATATATATATATATATATATATATATATATATATATATATATATATATATATATATATATATATATATATATATATATAGGTTCAGGTTCATTTGAGATCATTCTAATTTTGTGAGACCGTGAGACCAAATCTAAAAATAATTTTAAAATGCAAAATAAATGGAAAAATCCAAAAATTCTTTTTTTTTTAAATATTATTTTCGGAACTTGAATTAACTAAAAAAAAATAAAAAAAAATTAAAAAAATCCGTGAAATATTCTAAATAGAATATTACACTGACATATTCTAAAAAATAATTTTAAAGTGCAAAATAAATGGAAAAATCTAAAAATTCTTTTTTTAAATATTATTTTCGGAACTTGAATTAACTAAAAAAAATTAAAAAAAAATTCTATTTTTTTTGAAAAATACTGAAATATTCTAAATAGAATATTACACTGTACATATTCTAAAAATAATTTTAAAATGCAAAATAAATGGAAAAATCAAAAAAATCTTTTTTTAAATATTATTTTCGGAACATGAATTAACTAAAAAAAATAAAAATAATAAAATAAAAATAAAAAAAATAAAAAAATGCGTCTCATGGTCTCACAAAATATAGGTGGTCTCAAATGAACCTAACCCTATATATATATATATATATATATATATATATATATATATATATATATATATATATATATATACCTAACAACCTTATATAAGCTTAGGTACCTAACCACATCATACTACGTAATTTTTGTATCATATTTGCATTGTTATCACCTAATGTTCTTAAAATTCAACCTCATAACTTGATTGTTTACAAAATATTTGGATTTTCACCATTATCTTACTTCAAATGACGTTTTTTCTATCGGAGACCCCCTGGTGGGCTTCATATACTACCCTTACAAATCAAATGATGTAGGAGGAATATAATGGTGAATGTCTGAAAATTTTGAAAGTAAATCAAGTTAAAAGTTGAAGTTTAAAAACCTTAGACCATTGCATTGGAAATATAATGCAAAACAATATAGTATAATGTGGTTAGGTACCTAAGCTTATATAAGGTTGTTAGGTATATTCACTTTTCCATATATATATATATATATATATATATATATATATATATATATATATATATATATATATATATATATATATATATATATATATATATATATATATATATATATATATCACAATGTCAATCAACATCTATTATGAAGTCCATAACATTATTTGTTACTTTATTCGATTAAATGGTCGATTCCATAACAAACAATCAACGTAACAATTCAATCTTCTAAACTCTAATTGAGGTGATTAAGTTCAAAAAGAATTACAACAACTAAACTTGATTTTCTAACGGAAATCATATAGATAAAAAAGAAAAATAAACATAATCAACAACTTAAGTAGAAAATTCAAAGTCATTCACATGATTATATGATTATATACTGAATGACGAATCTTGTGATTTGGCAAAAAAAATGCATAATACTAAACAGAAACGACAATTAAATACTTGCAAACGAAATAAAATCGGATGTTTTGATGCCACGAACCCAAAAAATCCTTCAAGTCGCCCTTCTCGTTCTTTTTTCTCTTATAAATACTTATGCGTGATATGTGTAATGTGTCCCCTAAAAGTAAGAACCGAATCCCCCTTTTTGCGTGAAACGTGTTAAGCATCCCACCATCATGGGCCTACTTAGATGTCATTTAAATTATATAGTGGGCTTTCAAAACCAACAAATGAGCTAACTATATAGGCTAAAATAAATCAGTTTTATTGGCTGGTGTTGTTGGTAAATGGACAGAATTTTTGTTGTTCACGAAGCCCATACGATCGTTATCCAAAAATCCAAATCTAATCTCCTTGACGGATTAAATATCTATAAGTTAGGAAGATGTCTACACGTAAAATTTCAGCTCAATCAGACTATGTTTTCCTTTTAATCCAATCACTTAATCAAACCCGTACAATAATGTCAAAAATCCGAAAATTCATTTATTTCATTTTCTTTTTTGTGCTTGATCACCATGTTGCTATGGAATTCAAGCGGTTGCAAGGCTTTCTATGTGACTTCATTGGTGCTCAAAATACCATCACCCGTTTGCATAAATCAACATAAGCGGCATAACATAACTTAAATGAGTAAAATTGTCTGCAACAAGCTATATTTGAAAGTGTCAAAAGAATGTAAATTATTCAAAAACTAATATAGCATGCCTGAATTGCAAATATATAAAATCTAACATGAATATAAAATATTAAATTATACACATGGTAAATATACACAAGATATTGTGAAAATGAATAATAAAATACTAAAATGATGTATATCGGTCACAAAAGTTAAGAGTCTAGGGTACTTCGTTGAGTAGCGCATTAGGTGGGTATAAGTAAATAAGGAGGATCCTATAAATTAACAAAACAATTGATATATATTGATAACACATTTACAATTTGCATCATAAACAATTCAAACAACCACAATACATTAGTGAAATAAAATATTCAACATATAACTACCCTTTTGACATATGGATTAAATGTGTGTACATTAAAAGAAATATCTTATGGACGTTATATGCAACTTCCTTTGTGGTTTTTCGTCGACCCTCCTTTCTACGCTCTTGGCTTTCTATTTCCTATTCAATATATTTTACCAACAGCTCTAATTTACTAATTGAATAGAACTAAATATGCTCTTGAAAATAAACAATAATATATATAGACATACACACAGACACATACACAATCAAACAAGTTGGTGTCACTATGTCCAACTCCAACAACAAAAACCACACACTTTTATATCTTTTTGCTACCCTCCTGCTAACTTCTCCTATCCTTGGAACTCATCGTTCAGACTCCAACATTATCAAATCCTCGTGTGCCATAACCTTATACCCCGACATATGCTATTCTACACTCTCCTCCACCAGAAACCTTGCAACTAGAAAGGATGTAATCCAACATGCTATCCATAAAACAAAAGAAATCATCCGACAAAACTTCATCACCATAAAGAAGCTCATGGTCACTGTCAATCTCACCAAACGCGGCAAAATTGCACTCCATGACTGCTTAGAGATGATAGCTGGAACTCTTGAAGATCTCGACATGGTGATCCGAGACCTGGAGGCATATCCAAGCAAGAAATCCCTTCAGGAACAAGCCGATGACCTCAAAACCCTCATGAGCACCACCATTACCAACAAGGAAACCTGCTTGGATGGCCTATCGCACGATGCAGCCTGTCAGCATTTGCGCAAATCAATTATTCATGGTCAGGATCTCGGGGGAAAGATGTGTAGCAATGTTCTTGCTATGATCACGGACATGACGAACATAGATATGGCCAACAAGCTGGCTGAGTCGAATGTACGAAAGCAAAAGGAGGAAGAGTTGATGAGGCAGCCGGAGTGGTTGTCTAGGAAAGACAGGAGATTATTGTGGGGGAAAGTAATGAGGCCAAACGTGATTGTGTCGAAGAATGGTAAGGGAAACTATACTACGGTGGCCGAAGCCGTGAAGGCAGCGCCATTCAGTAGCAAAAGCAGGTTCGTGATAAAGATATTGGCAGGGGTGTATAGGGAGCATGTTGAAATTCCAAAAAACAAAACCAACTTAATGTTTATTGGGGCGAATAGAAATAACACAATTATTACTGGGAATTTGAGCGTCGGCGGCGGCAGCACAACCTGGAAATCCGCAACCGTAGGTTAGTGTACGCAATCTTTGCGCATGTGTTTTTCTTGTTTTTGGTCGAATATCCTTGTAAGGGTGTTGCTAATAAGACACTCTTGGACACCTCATTGATCACTTTTTAAAAAATCAACCAATAATTAACTGCTTATAATCAACTTTTTCGGAAAACAATACAATTTCAACCAATAAAAATATTAAAAAAATTAATTAGGGTGTCCATATGTTTTTTTAGCCAATCCCTTTAAGAAATAACAAAATATGTATATGCATAATACCCGTAGAGCATCCACAATCCATTAAACTCTATAAAATTCAATGAATTATCACATCATCCATTAACTACCATTACATCAATACCCACAAACCCACAACCCATTAAACTCTTATTCAATCACGATCTCTTCTATTGAACCATTCAATGATCATTCAACTCATTTATTTAACTTTACTCCATATCATCACCCATACTCCATTCAACTTTTATTCAATCTTATACTCCTGTGTTGTGATGCTCTTACCAACCAAGGTTAATGCATGCCCGTTGGAACTTTTAGCATAATCATGCATGGTTTTACCATAACAATTATATGATGGAGTAATGAATTGTAGCATGCATATATATTGACGACAGCGGTTAATGGTAAAGGATTCTGGGCACGTGATATAACATTTCAAAATTCAGCCGGAGCTGCGTTGCATCAAGCCGTGGCACTACGTGTTAGTTCTGATTTATCGGCATTCTATAGATGTGGTATACTCGCATACCAAGATACCCTTTATGTCACCTCCGGACGTCAGTTCTTCGTCAACTGCATGATTGTCGGCACTGTTGATTTCATTTTTGGTAATGCTGCAGCTGTCTTCCAATTTTGTAACATCCTCGCCCGTCGTCCTGATCCCCACCAAGGAAACATGCTCACTGCTCAAGGCCGAACTGATCCTCATCAAAACACTGGGCTCGTCATTCAGAAGTGCAAACTCGGTGCAACCTCCGACCTACAACAAGTTAAAGCCGATTTTAAAACGTATCTTGGAAGGCCATGGAAGAACTATTCAAGAACGGTGATCATGGGATCCTTAATTAGTGACGTTATAGATCCTGCAGGATGGTCCCCTTGGAAGGGAACTTTCGCACTAGACACTTTGTATTATCGAGAGTACCAAAACACGGGACCTGGGGCTGATACGTCAAAGAGGGTAAAGTGGAAAGGTTGGGGTGTGATGAAGAATAAGATTGAGGCTATACCTTTCACTGTTGGAAGCTTCATCAATGGTTGGACTTGGTTGCTATCCACTGGCTTCCCTGTCTGGCCTCTTTGGTAATGGTAAATGATATTTAGCTAATTATTACACCTCTAAACTAGGCCATGGCAATTTCCTTAGTTTTCTTGTGATTTTTGTGGATCAAGCAAAAAGTTTGATAGGCTAGGGAAGGAGTTTGTTAAACGGTCGATACCGTCAAACGGGAAAATATAGTCATTTTTTCTGTTTTGTTTTTTTGATGATAGGTCATTGAAAAATGTGAGATTCAAACTTGCGTCAACTTTATTTTGAAGTGTTTCATATAACAGGTGATGATCAATTGATAACCCGTAAAAATATAGTTATTTTACCATGAATTAGATAGGTTTATTGGATGTGTAACCTTTAACCTTCAAGTCCGTCTTTCTTATTTTTAGCATTTTGTTCTTTGTTATTTGTAATAAAATTGTTGGTGGGTAAAATTAGAATATTATTGAGGATTCAAACGATGGATGTCCGGTGTTGAGTGTTATGTATTTCTTTGATAATTTATATTTATTATATCTCTAACATAGTAAAGATAACTGAAAAGACAGTATGATCTTCAATATCTACTCTATAATTATCAAAGGATAAGTTTCTGGGTGTAGATTACAAATCGACAAATATCAAATCATAAACAATATCAAAACCAAACGGGTTAAGAGGAATAATGACTTAAAAGGGTAATATATTTTTTGATTTGTACATATTTTGTTATTGAGTTTTTTTTCGTTCATATTTACCACTTCAACTTTTTAAACTATACACATTTAGTCATTATGATCGGTTACTCCACGTTAGTCGGAAAAATAACTTAATAGGGTAATATATTTATCATATTATACGCATTTAGTCATTATTGTTTTTGTAAATATTTAGTCCTTAATTTTTTTTGTTTTAAAAAAAAAAATCATTTTTGTTTTTTTGTACTCATTCAGTACTTATGAATAACTTTTTTAGTACTACTAGTGTGAATGATTTTTATTTTTTGATACGGTCCTTTCTAAAAACCGACTTATTAAATATCTATAGCATCAAAAAAGAAGATAACCGCATCATAAAATAGCTTTATTAGCGCGGTTTCCCAAAATCGCACCATTAAAGCATTTTTTAAGCGATTTCCTAAAACATAAGTCTTTTAATAGTGTGAATGATTTTTATTTTTTGATACGGTCCTTTCTAAAAACCGACTTATTAAATATCTATAGCATCAAAAAAGAAGATAACCGCACCATAAGATAGTTTTATTAGTGCGGTTTCCCAAAATCGCACCATTAAAGCATTTTTGAAGCGGTTTCCTAAAACCGCACTAAAAAATAGTTTCTAAAACCGCCTCAAAAAACAATTAAAATCTCCTCAAAAAATAATTCGCACTAAAATACATTGAACCGTACCAAAAAATAATTCGCACTAAAAAACATTCAACCACACCATTAATCTTTACTCTAAAAATTTCATTCGAATTTTTTATTCTTCAAGAGATCCCTCCAAATTTGTTCAAAGTTTTCATGTTCAAGCAAGCTACAAGTTAGTTGATCTTTTGTATTTTTCATTTCCTTCCTATATTTTCATTTTCCTTCTATATTTTTATTTCCCTCTAAAAGTATGTGTGCCATGCGTGTGCTTTACCCCCTTTTACAGACAACACAAGAAGCATATCTCTTTCCTTCTTCCTTATTTTCTTTTTTTTGATTAACGTTTGGTTTGTTTAAGCTGAAATAAGTTGGTTGATCGGAAATATATAGGAGATGGTGGTGTTTCGATGGTCCTCAGTAAAGGCACGATATTTGTTGTCGGTGTTGATGGTGGTTAGTGGTGGAGATGGAAGGTATGTAGATAAACTAATTTTTGTTCTTATTTTTTTTTTTTACTGATTTACATTTGGTTTGTTTAAGGTGGAAAAAACGATGGTAATTGGGGATATTGGGTGTTCTTTGTAGCTGTAATGGTGGTTTCCAGCAAAGGTAGGGCAGATGGTGATGTTGTCAATTGGTGGTGGTTTATGCTCGGTTATAAATGAGGTCAATGTAGAGATGCTCGACGGTGGTTAATGACGATAAAAATGGTGTGGCTTGGTGAATCTTGTGTTCTCGGCAACAAACACACGATATAGATGATGGTGGTTTAAGGGTGGTTTCCGGTGGGATGATTTTTTTTTGTTGTTGTTTTCATTTTTTTGGGGCAGTTTTCATCATTTTATGGTGCGGTTTGTATTTTTCTCTACTATTTTTTGGTACGGTTTTGACTATTTTTTAAGGCGGTTTTATAACCGTGCTATTAAATGAGGGTATTTTTTGATGCGATATTTTTTAGTGCGGTTCAATAAGCGCATCAAATAACTATTTTAACCGCATCAACAAATCATTTATATACTAGTGTGGGTTTTTCTCACGACATCTTACGTGAGATAATTATTGATGAGGTGTTCCATCACAATCTTGATTGCTTGGTTGAGTAGATATTGTGGTTTGACTTAGGTCTTGTGTTCTAAACGTCGTAAATTTTTCATATGATATTAGATTTTAACAATCTTTATATACATGTGTTCATTTTTTGAGTCTACTACAACATTCGTTAACATTACTCCCATTAACATGTACTATAGTTTTACTTACGATTCTATAAAAGATACATCCATACATGCATTCATAAAAAACATATGGATATAAAGATCGTAAGTAAAAATATATTACTTTTTAACGGGAGTAATTTAAACGAAAGTTGTAGCAGACTAAAATACGAACGCGTAGATATAAAGATAGTTAAAATCTGAAATTGTATGAAGAAGTTATGACGTTAAAAATACATGAATAAAGTAAACAAGTAGTCGAAATCACAATGAACATAAGCATCAAAAACCCAAAACACCTCATTAATGATTGTGTCACGTAAGATGTCGTGAGAAAAATCTTAAGAAATCATTCACAAATATGAATGATTATATAAAAAAATGATTTATTATACACACACACTACTAGAAATATAGATATCAACGACAGACAATTTCGTCGGAAATCCATCGCTAAAGGCCATTAGCGACGGATCAGCAATAGAAAATGACCGACGAAAAAACCTTGCTAGCTAATGGTAGCAACGGATTCAACGACGGAATTAGCGAGGAATCAGCGAGGGATTGAGCAGTCGCAAAAAATCTTGGGATCAAGTAGATTTTGTCACGAATCCATCGTAATTGTCGTCACTAACTCGTCACTATTACCGGTAATTGAGCAATTTTTCTATATATCTAATAATAGTCATTAATTTAATTAGCAATGGTGTATCATAGGTTGAATCTATCACTATTCCATACCCAATTGCCACATATCACAAATGAAATTCAAATTTTACAAATGAATACCAACCATGTTTATACCAAATTAAACATCCAACCATATCATTCTACTAATAGTAAAATACTTTCAACTCGAATAAAAAACAAGCAATATACTTTCAAATTGAATAATGAAACTATCAATAATTGATAGCAATGTACAATTTACACAATTGGTAAAGGTTTTTGTTTCTATCCCTGTAATTTATGAGAAATAATTATGCACTATCATTTTGATTATTTCAAAAGGGAGTTATAAATGCTTTATTGTGATCAGAAGTTGCAGTTGCAAAGACATGGTAAATATTCCCATAATTAGAGATAGTATAAAAACTCTAAAACAAAAAACATAAAAATAAATTTGGGAAATTTCAATACCATAAACATGCTTTTCCATCCACTTTTGACATAAGTGACTAGCCAAACCATTATATGCTAGTGGTTGTAAAAGAACAAAAAAAAGTAAATGTTTTATACAGTAAAATCATAGGCTAAAAGCAATGAACATCATAAAGAGGTCTAGTTAAGGATATTTTTATGTTTTTTCACATTAAGTGCTTTAAAGATATGGTGTTTGTTGAAGATGCAATTGTATAACCAAACACTTTCATTTCAAAGGCAATAATGTAGGACCTCTTACACTTTTATGTTACAAGACCTTCATAATCCGCATAAAGAAAAAGAGCATAATTTAACATCAATCTTAATTTTTGTAATCTAGTGGTGATATAGATGTCATTCGACATTGGTCGAGTATATTTTGATTCACAACATAATACAATATTACAATGTTCATAATATTTGCTACCACTAAAACAATTGATGAAAGTTCATACCTTCTTTTTATGGGTTGAATTGCGACCACCAATATTCATGTTAACTTAAACCTATCATAGTGGGAAAAAAGCAGTATACACTACCCTAAACATCCACTTGAGTTGTTCGGCAACCATATTGGCCTTTTTAGGCTTCAACAAGACTTGCGGTTGGCTTCCCTACTTTCATGCTGAAATCATATACCCTAAACATCATAATTAGAACAATAGCTACTTTATGAATATATGACAACTTAATTTAGGGAACAAAATTATAAAGGCTGAAAAGTTATAATCCAAACCGAGCAAATATGAATAGCATCATTGTAACATCCCACATTTTGTCAATTGTAGTCCCTGGGGATGGAAGGGTAAAGCCACGAAGAGCCTAAGGGCTAACTTGTAATTATGGGACCAGGAGGAGTACGTTGTGCGTACATAAGGGTACGTATGGCATACTACGCTGGGCGTACAATAATGTACTCTGGGCGTACTCATAAAGGATGAAAACCCTAATATCTCGGGTTGGGGGCTATATAAACATCCTTATGGCTCATTTTCTCTCCTCCTTCTCAGCATCCATCTACTAGAAACGTCCCCAAACCCTAGTTCTTGTGTGTGAGAGTGAGTTGGAGGGTATTTTGAGCTCTTGAAGGTGAATCCAGTGCAACAAATAGTTGAAAAGGGAGATTAGCTTGTAGATCTGAGGTTGTGTTGTGCTCTAGAAGCTCCAGAAGGTAAAAAGCTTCAAACTTTGTGCTTGTAGGTCATAGATCTAGCCTTTCTAGCATTATGGAACCATTTCTTGTCCCAAAAACCCCAATATGATGCATGATGCATTTTGGACGAGATAATCTATCCTTTCTGGACCTTGAAGGGGTCTCAAGTGATAA